AAACTGCAAAGTATACTCCAAAATCACAGTTACATATACTGGTCCATGCCAATTTGGGTCACAACTTTTTAAATTTTTCTCTCGGAATTGTTCCTGATGCATCCCTGGCAAACAACCCTATTATTGTTAGTATCCCTAACTGCCTGATTCACTTCACTAAGTTCGGGGATCCCCTATCTGAGATGGAAGAGATTGAGCAGGTTTACGGTGCCACTGGACCTCTAGCCCAGGGACGTGCTCTGCTGGGGTGGTGCTACACCAGTAATGCCCAGCGGGGCCCCCACAGAGCACGCTTCGCTTGCGCTGTCTGCTGCCGTTACCCTTAACGACGCTCTCAGCGACTTCTTATACTGTCAGCAGTATAATTAACTTACTCCTTCACTCGCCTCATCGGAGTGAAGCTCTCCCGCTCTCCTTCAAAATCTCTTCCAGTCAGACAGCCCTAACAATTAACAAAAGCTTACTACCTTGTTTGTTGATTTGCCAGGGGTGTCACCGAGAATAATTGCCCGCATTCTCCACCATAACTGTAAGGGGTATACAGTCAAAGACCCAGAACCAGATATGAGGAATGAAGACCCGGAGTCAGAATTATAAAAAATTAAAGAAAAGTTTTACTGAAGATAGTTTGCATTTTCATCAGCAGAAGCCAGCTTCAAGACTCACACAGGAGTTCGTAGGCCGCCCCTCTTACAGTTACAAAGATCACAGCAGTTATACCATTTCCAAGGTCTAAGCTACGTCATTGCTTACAGGTTGAATGATTCTCATTGGCTAAGAAACATTAAGAGCCTAAACAATTTAACACATGTGAGGAGATAGGGGTGCCTATCGCCATTAGTCAAGATAGTTGTCGTCCACTCATTAGATTTAGGTCTGTGGTGGCCTCGCAGGTTAGAGAAGGGCGCCGGGGTGTCTGGTCCGACCGTCCAGAACCTACATAGAATGTCATACGCACACACACACAAACAACAGACACTAGCAAATAACAGCTCCCATCAAGGCTGAAGAGAGTCTGAGCTCCTTATTATCAGTTAAGTATACCAAAACATAATGCTAAAACATTCACTCGTTTGGGAGAAAAACAGATAACTGGCATTTACTCCCAAGGAAGGAAATATACTGGAAAGAATACATTTTAATACAACAATTAAAGTTTGATAGTAACGCTCAATATAGCTTGACTATATGTCCAGCGAAGAATCATATGTGCCCACGCTGCCTTTAGGACCCTCTAACCTTTCTACTGATCCCAGAGAAAGAGACAAACGGCCTTGTGGGTTACGTGGCCTTCGTGTCCTGCGTGTACTACGTGCAATCTCAAAGTAAGATTGGGATGCACCTAAAAGAAACTGGTTACTTGCATCCATGCATTTAAGAAAATATAATTTCACAAGCACAAGAATATAAAAATTATTATGTGATAATGAATATATTTGATTATTGATTTTTATAAAGGAAGTATATAACCATTCAAAATGACATATGATTATATATGTATTTGAAGAGGCAAGGGATTTTGACCAACCCTTCAGAGAGGTGCAGTGAGAGGTGCAGTGAGAGATGCAGTGAGAGGTGCAGTGAGAGGTGCAGTGAGAGGTACAGTGAGAGATGCAGTGAGAGATGCAGTGAGAGATGCAGTGAGAGATGCAGTGAGAGGTGCAGTGAGAGATGCAGTGAGAGGTGCAGTGAGAGGTACAGTGAGAGATGCAGTGAGAGGTGCAGTGAGAGATGCAGTGAGAGGTGCAGTGAGAGGTACAGTGAGAGATGCAGTGAGAGATGCAGTGAGAGATGCAGTGAGAGGTGCAGTGAGAGATGCAGTGAGAGGTGCAGTGAGAGGTACAGTGAGAGATGCAGTGAGAGGTGCAGTGAGAGGTGCAGTGAGAGGTACAGTGAGAGATGCAGTGAGAGGTGCAGTGAGAGGTGCAGTGAGAGATGCAGTGAGAGATGCAGTGAGAGGTGCAGTGAGAGATGCAGTAAGAGATGCAGTGAGAGGTGCAGTGAGAGGTGCAGTGAGAGGTGCAGTGAGAGATGCAGTGAGAGGTGCAGTGAGAGGTACAGTGAGAGATGCAGTGAGAGATGCAGTGAGAGATGCAGTGAGAGATGCAGTGAGAGATGCAGTGAGAGATGCAGTGAGAGGTGCAGTGAGAGGTGCAGTGAGAGGTGCAGTGAGAGGTACAGTGAGAGATGCAGTGAGAGGTGCAGTGAGAGGTGCAGTGAGAGATGCAGTGAGAGGTGCAGTGAGAGATGCAGTGAGAGATGCAGTGAGAGATGCAGTGAGAGATGCAGTGAGAGGTGCAGTGAGAGATGCAGTGAGAGATGCAGTGAGAGGTGCAGTGAGAGGTACAGTGAGAGATGCAGTGAGAGGTGCAGTGAGAGATGCAGTGAGAGATGCAGTGAGAGATGCAGTGAGAGGTGCAGTGAGAGGTGCAGTGAGAGGTGCAGTGAGAGGTGCAGAAGTGCAATATTTGATGAAAACATGTGGCCTAACCCTGAAGATCGCGAGATTAGATACAGTAATTTTGTGCTTTTTTGTAAGCAATACTGTAAAACCTTTTCTGTTCTATCATACCGTGTTTCTACTGTATCTCCTGTTGTAAACAGTAAAGGGAAAAACTGATTTGCTTTTTACTAGAATGCTTTTGAATGTGAACATTACTGTACATGTGGACATACAGTTCCCAACCAAGAAATTTAGTGTAAAAAGGTTGGATTGCATGTTTTGCATGCAAATACCTGTAAAACTGAAACATCAAAGTCTATGCAGTTTTTGTAATGTCAACAATAGCCAGTATTTTGAAACCTGGTGTACTTTGATTGACTGCATGTACCGTGTGAAGTGAAAACAAGTGTTATTCTTTGACAGAATAATTTCATTTTGAGACAGATTTCCAGTGTTTTGGTAAAGTTAGTGTGTGCAGAGAAAGATGTGTTCTATTTTGAAATGAAGAGTTAGTATATATTTAACAAAATGTGTTTTTGAGAAGAAAATTAACCATTTGGCCAATTGTGTTTTGTAGGTGTGAGTCTGTGTTAAGAGTTTAGAAAAAGTATCTGAAGTATGGGTAAGCGCTTGTTAGCGATTGAAAAAAACTGTAAACAAGTCGCTAGCATGTTTTAGCACGTTGCTAGCATGTCTTTAGCATGATTAGCTCATTGTTACAGTAACATATTTTAGCATGTTGCTAGCATGATTTAGTATGCTGATAGCTAGGAGATAGATAGATAGATAGATAGATAGATAGATAGATAGATAGATAGATAGATAGATAGATAGATAGATAGATAGATAGATAGATAGATAGATAGATAGATAGATAGATAGATAGATAGATAGATAGATAGACAGACGACATTTGAGGATTTAAGCATAGGCTATGTTCTACAAAAAGAAAACCAGTTAATAAAAAAAGTACAGGAAGTGGAATAGTTAAAGTAGAGCAGGTACTAATACTGAATCTAATAGCCTACTGCATAGAAGCATGTAGGTCACAGATTGTCATTTAGAGAGTGGTGCATAGCCTACCTTTGAATATCATAATATTACACAGACACCAAGTATTTCACACGCTTTAATGTTTGATGTTGGCAGATAAATCAGCATCACAGCATTTTAAATCTTACAGATTTATCTGGCCAACATCTCTAGGAGTGAATAAAGAATTTCTACATTTTTACTGAGCTACTGACTCTTTAAACATTGTTTAACACTGTTTAACAGTTAGGCCTAATGTTTAACACTGAGCTGCCTTGTTAAACATTAACTGCATTGTTCTGTCTTAGGCTTTCCTTTGGAATTCTTTCTAAAAATGCTTTAACATATAGCTTTGAGCAAGTTTCAGGACAGGTGAGTACATGTCTTTTCTCTCATACGCATACGCCCATATTTGGGGGAAACATGTTATTTGAGATCTGTGGACGTGTTAAATCTGTAACAATGGATGTGTCGCAGGAGCAAACACAGGCAGCCTGTTTACCTGGGAATCTGCGAAAGAGAAAGAAGTGGTCAGACGTGACAAACATGTACCAGCGAACCTGTCGACTGGACGTCAGTTCACCCACAAAAATTGTGCATGTCATTGGTACGGAAATTAAGGTGATCCTAGACAGGTAGGTAATACAATAATATTATAATTTTTATTATACATAGGCATACATATGCAAAATCAAAAAAATATGGTGTGAACATTAAATGCATTTATTTATTTATTAAAGACTTCAGTAAAAGTAGCAATGGGCGTCGCCTAGCGGAAGGTTGTGTCCTCAAGTAGAAAGCTATTAGAAGTAATCTTATCCTGTAACCCCAAATTGTGTCTGTGATTAAACACTTTTGATTAACTAATCTTTGGATTAAATTGAACTCATTGATAAAATCAAAAAAAGAAGAAGAAAAATGCTGTTTAAATGAGGTATTTTGCAAGCATTGTGTGATAATGGAACAATAAAAAGGTAGATTTTTATTTATTTAAATATTTGTAAATATTTTGTCATAATACTAAAAATAATTAAACAATTAATATCAGACTTAAACTTAAACAATTTTAAATAATTACAAAAGCGGTATTGTAATAATGGATGATACAAAGAAACAGGTGTGTAGGCTAATATCAACTCAACTGTAAAGGTACAATGTTTATTAACAGACCATAGGTAGCTCCTCCATAGCATCTAAATAATTTCTATGACTCTAAATCTAATAAAATGACGTTTACTCACCAAAATAATCTGAATTATATTTTGGGTGAAAAATAATGGCTTGTCTGCAGGTAGTTTGTGCAGCCTCCACACGGTTCACCATGAAAGAAAAGGGTATTAAAATCACAATTATTTGCTTGTGATTGGTTTATTCAAAGTATTTGCATGTTGAAGAAAAAGGGTTTCGCATCCTGAGGCAAAACGGTGCAATATTGGGTTCAGTCCAGTTCAGTCGCGCTGGAGTTAACAGCGCCCTCTAGCTGTGAGTCACTTGTGCTGCACACTGAGTTGTGGGCGTTTCCAGGCGTTTCAAGTCCTCCGTTTCCTAGAAATGCACCTGCTTTTGTTCAACCAATAGGCTCTCTGACACGGTTACATCTCAAGTATATAAAAGGGTTAAAGTTAAATTGTTGAATTTACTTTGAAAGAAAGACGCATCTTCAAAAATCATGGTGCCCCGCCGTTCACTTACAATTGACACTGAGAACGCGACCAAGACGACATACGTGGTCGGAACGGAGTTGACGGTGAATTTAAACAGGTGAGAGAGTTTATTTATCTCGCATTATGCGAATAGACAATATATTAGAATAGAATAGATATTAGAACATTGTTTTATTTTAAGGGGTCAGTATGGCTCACACAAGACGCGTTCATAAACAGCGCGACTGAGCTCAAGGGAATCAAACAAAACAGGAGTCTATTTTAATAGACCGAAAGACATAATTAAAGGTTCAGTTCACCCTACAATGATACACCTTTCATCATTTACTCGCATTCATATAGTTTCAAAACCCCATGACTTTCCTTCTTCCGTGGAGCACAAATGTAACGTTATATTGAATGTTTGGGTCTGACATCAGCAGTCTCCATCGACTTCCATTGCATCTTGTTTCCTGCAGTATGAGTGATTGGTGACTGGGGCTGTCAGTCCCCAACATGATGATATAAGACAATGTTTACATGCTATAGAAGTGCATTCCTACTTGTTGTTTATTTTGATTTATTTTATATATTTTAACAATGTTTTTGATAAGGGTCTAACTGACTAAAATATCTAAAATATATCTGCAAAGGGTTAAAGCTGACTATGGTCTGACTTCTGAGTTTTGTTTAGATCAAAAGAACAAGTTGAAGGAGTTTGAATGGAAAATAAAAGTATTCATTTCAAAATGACTGTTATTATTTTGACAGGCACATCATTATAGACTCTGGTAACCCAAACATAAGAACAGTCGTTTCAAACACAATGTCGCCAGAAATTATGCATGTTTACATAGACCAATTATTGAAATATAGCACAGACAGAAGACACATATATGAAAACATTTTGCTAACATAGTGTACAGTTAAAATATCCGATTGTTCTATTCATAAAGTTTCAAACTTTAAGTTTGTTGTAAACCATATTAGCAACATTATTCTGGAATGAACTGAGTGTCCAAATAATTGAATCTGCCTATTGTAATATTCACAGATATTGGTTTGTTTGTTAAATTTTATGAAGATTTTTTTTTCCGTCTGTTTGTTCTGTGTAGATGAATATTTGCCTTGAGAATTTAGGTGGGATTGTTGATTGAAGAATTTCTCCTCTTCAGTTCCAAAGGCGGATGAATGCACTCGTTGTGCTGCGACATTATTTAAATTCATCCCTGAACTCTGTCTCAATACTTCTGTTTCATGTTACAAAAGATTATCTTTTGATTATACTTAATTCAGGAATTAAGTATATAATTATATATTTAAATAGAAAACAGTTATTTTACTGCATTTATTATCAAATAATTGCCAGCTTGGTTAGCATTGGAGCATTGGTAACACTTTATTTTTGGGTCCAATTCTCGCAATTAACTAGTTGCTTATTAGCATACATATTAGGATATTGGCTGTTTATTTGTACTTATAAAGCATATATTAACGCCTTATTCTGCATGACCATCTACATCCCTTAATCATATTCCTGAACTTAACAACTACCTTAATAACTATTAATAATCAGTAAATTATTAGTTTATTGAGGCATAAGTCATAGTTAATAGTGAATGTGTTCTCCATACTAAAGTGTTCCCAGAGCATCTTTCAAAAACATTAAGAAAACACCCTAAACCTTTGAATAGTAGTGTATCTTTAGGATATTATGTTTGGCTATAAAATCCTTGTACTCAATGTTTTGAAACTGCAATTTGGTATCTGCATTAAAGAGAATTTAATGCAGATATTTCTACCAAAAAAAGTATTAGTATTATGCAATTTTAAGTAAAATCTAAAAATATAGAGAGAATAAAAATCAAATTCTGTTAAACCCTGAGTAATGATCCTGCGGGAACAAAAAAAAAAAAAAAAAAGATGTGACACTTTGGTTAGACAGTGTGAATAGATGGTTGACATGACAGAAGTATGATGTGCTTTACTCCATCTAAAGTCTAAACTATTTTACACAACATTAATTCATGTAGAATTAACATGCATGCTCTTTGTATGACCTCATATCTCATATTTATAGAAGGTATTGAGACGTGGCACATTGTCCAACCCAAATGTCATAATTACTGCATTAGATAATGGATTATGAATAATACATTTAGGATTCAACTCATCTTTTAGGACAACAGATATTAGTCTTGATGATGTTGTTTCATTATGGACTAATTCAAAATTGATAAAGTCGTCTAGAAAGCTAAAGAAAAGCTATTAGTAGGTTTGGAAAGTTATCAAAGACAATAGCTGACAGTGGCGGTTATAAACAGAAGTATTCATTTAGTTCAGTGATGAATTTAAATAATGTCGCAGCACAACGAGTGCATTCATCCGCCTTTGGAACTGAAAAGGAGAAATTCTTCAATCAACAATCCCACCTAAATTCATCTACACAGAAAAGCTTTCCAGCGCTGGAGAGGCCTAAGCGGGAAGGCCTGAAAATGAACGCAGAGGTTGTGTTGTTTCTGCTTTATACATGAGCAGCAATGTTGGTTTTGAGTTTGTGCTGTTGGCGACTAACAACCACTTGTTTGTATATACTCGTGCACTGTATGTTAATAATGTATGTTTGTTCTTCCTTGACGTTCATTAGTCATCTTCGCTATATTTTGCTACGTTTCTGCTATGATAAAGAGACATCCACTCTTGCATTGCCTGTTTGTGCATTTTGGGGGCGGAGCAATGAAGAGAGGGGTGTGTTTGTTTGGGTTGATTTCATATATCAACATTGATTCTCAGAAATCGCTTACTGCGCCTTTAAAACACAAGATTATCTGAAGAGGTTTTTAGACAATGAAATGACCTTTGTATAATATCCTACAATGAAATAGATACATTCATAATGTGTCCCTGTATTTCTCTTTGCTCTTTACAGGTGTGCCCCACCACAGTCTAAGTTCTTCTCAATAAAATGCTCCCCAAACGTGCATTACAAGGTCACGCCCCCGACCAAGGACAGGACCACCTCTCCGTACCCCCTCACCCCAAACTCTATCCTCCTCATCACCATGGACACAGTCAGTGAGACTGCATTTGACAGCAAGGTACCTAAATCTAATCACCTTTGTGTTCTAAGCATAAAGAGCACAGTACAGCACATGCAGAAAGAATCCGTGGAATTTTTCCGCGTTCTCTATGCTGATTTTGAGGAAAATTCTGCAGAATGGATTTAAACATAAGTGTTTGAAACTGAGCCAAAACTACTACTCTCCAGTATCTGAAAGCATTATCGAACTAGCACAAATATTTAAAAGGAGGATGTGATGGGAAGGTTTTTGTGTGGGCAGATTCCATCTGGGTATGTTTCTCGATGTACGACCAACCTTTGCTATAAAGCAGATAATGGTCCTTTAGAAAACAAACAGAACTGAAAGAAACTGACAACTGCAGAAAGGAAAGAGCTTGTCTGATGCACATGCCGTGGTTTACCCTAGTCTATGCAGGAAACCGTGGTTTACGCGTAGTAGACACGATCTCGCGTCACTTTCTAGCACTACCAGTTTGAATACTGGACATATTTAGTGCATTTTTTTATTTAAACATTACAGTACTGAAATGAATCACTTTAGTAATCTTTGAAGAAAACCGCAATGATTGCACAATAATTGTCATGAGGATCCAGATCATGCTAGTTTCTAAGACTCAGATGTGTTTCAGTTATCTGTGAAGTACTACGGGGAGAAAACGGAGGCTCTTGAGGACGCTGTGCTGCATCTAACAGCTGTCGGTACGTTTCACTGTGCAAGACATACGCCTGTGTTTATGAATAGTATCAGGATGTGCAGTGCAACTATAAACAGCCTCATGATGCTGGTGGGACTGTGAAGAAAAGAGCAAGCCTCATATTGTCTCTATTCTGTTGCAGAGATATCTCTGGACGTAGATGCCGACCGAGATGGCGTTGTTGAGAAAAACAATCCGAACAAGGTGAGCTTTGTTTGCTGGTAGTCTTGCGATCTGTTATATATCATCATTATTTGGGAGATTTGTTTTTGCCTCATTGTTTCTTGGCTTGGAGATGGGGCTGGAAAGTCAGATAAAATGAATACGTTGATTAATTTAGATGAATTAGAAGCCTTAGAGATACGATAAAGCCACATTTGTTTGCATATTAAAGGGATAGTTCACACAAAAATTAAAACTGGTTTGTCGTTCCAAACCTGTGACTTTCTTTCTTCTTGGAAACATTTAGAAAAATGTCTTTGCGTTTTCTTTTGTAAATACAATGGAAGTCAATGGGGTCCAATGTTTTATGAACGCCGTTGACTTTCAAAATATCTTCTTTTGTGTTCCAACTGCATTGTGCTATTGTAGATGATATATTCAAGATTTATTTTATTTGAATAATGTGTAATAGTACTGGATTTTGGGTCTAGGCATCCTGGAAATGGGGTCCTAATGGCCACGGTGCAGTTTTGCTGGTCAACTGTGACTCCGAGAGCTCATACGAGAAGAAAGTGGACAGTGAGAAGGATGAGATCAGTAAAGTTTCAGGTGAGTCTGGGTAGATCTGGGAGGGATTTAAGTCTCGCCGCGGATATTTGTTGTGTGTAAATAGACTCTGTCTGTACCAAACCCATGTTTAAACATTGTTGCAAAATGATTCTTCCTTATTAATCATTCATTATTAATAATTTTCACATTGCAAGTTCAGTAAATACTTCCAATCTTTCAATTAATTCAAACTATCTGAACAATATCCATAGAAAATTTGAATTAGGTGCACAATTTCAACCAGTAGTTGGATTTTTAGCTTAGTTACCATTGGACTTTACTCTTCAAATGCCATGCTGTGGAAAGGAAGAGATCATTGAATCTAATGTATCTTTTCTTTGATGGCAGATTTGCAGGACATGTCCAAGATGATCTTGCGCACCAACGGGCCGTCTCAACTTCCTGAAGGCTATAAACTGAGCATGTACATCTCGCAGACCACTTCAGAGAGCGTGAGAATCTTTAGACCTCGGACAAATGTGCAAAAAGACAACGTGTGGAGTAAGTGTAGACACAAACACCTGCAAAATAATACAATAATGTTTTAAATGGGGGATGTCCCGGACGGTCTCAAGGATTGGTATCGAGGGCATCAATATTTGCTCAAGATCTTGTATTGACAATGCAAGAGTCCAGCACTCTGTAAAGTCTTCTCCAACACAACCCAAAGACATTCAATGAATTTAAGGTCTGGATTCAGAGGTGCACATTCATGTGTGAAAATGATTCTTCATGCTCCCTCCCAACCAAGAAAATAAGTAAATAACAACAACAACAACAACAACAAAATTATGATCTATTCCTTAAACTATTTAAGAAAACAGAATGTCTGTAAATGTGTAACAATTTTACACGCATGCATATTGTGAAATTCTATGATGCATGAAAACCATTGGGAGAAATTTTTCCATCACCACCTACATGTGCATAAGGTGGTGGAAATGTAAAATTATGTCCACAGTTTATAGAAATATAATGTACAATTGATTAAATAAATGAAGCAAAAACCAAATGCATTATAAAGGAACATCAAAACTTTACCGAATGGCTCTTCTTTCCCTGTACCAGAGCACAAACTCCTGAAGTTGTTTCTGAAAGATTATCTCATGGTGGTGGGAACAGACAAGCTGACACAGGAAGTGCCCTACCTGGGAGGAAAAACTGAACTGATGTTCTATGTAGAAGGTCTTCGCTTCCCTGATAAAGATTTTGATGGGCTCATCACCATCAACCTTAGTCTACTAGAGCCCAGTGGCAAGGTTAGTGAAAGAAACCACTGTCTGATCCTCCATCAAACCTTCTGTTCTTGGTGCTTTACTGTTTATCTGCTTACCGCAATAACATTTACACTGTTGTCTTCTATCAAATTTAATTGGGTAATATAATTCTTATAACCTCTAAATTCTAATTAAATACGATTCTGCTTGTTTTCTTAAAAGGATTTCCCTGAAACACCCATCTTTACAGATAAAGTCATATTTCATTTCTCACCCTGGATCATGACCCCTAACACCCTCAAACCTGTGGAGGTCTATGTGTGCAGGTGAGAGGGGATCAATTCAGTAAAAGCTTTAACCCTTTTAACCCTTCACAGATCATATAACAAATAATACACACACAATATATATATATATATATATATATTATATATATAATAGGACTGTCAAATCGATTAATCGCATTTAACGCAAGTTTTTGTTTACATAATATATGTGTGTATATATATATATTAATAGATTTATATTTTATATATGTCTGTGTGTGTATACCATATATAAACACACATAATATAATATATATAAATACAATAATATATGTACACACGTAAACGATTAATCGATTTGACAGCAGTTACATACAGTGTGTATATGTATATATTAGTGTGTGTGTCATTTATATATACACTGTATTCACCTTGTAAGCCTTGGGGACTGTTGACTATTTGATGTTTTTGGCAGCACAACGGATAACGTCTCATTCCTGAAGAGTATAAAGAAGCTGGTGGAGAAGAATGGCTACAAACTTAAAATATGTTACGAGTACATGAACCGAGGTGACCGCTGGATGCAGGTCAGTGGAATCAGGGGAAAGAACATGACATATTGTTAATATTTATTAATTTATATTTTACAACATTTAATATTTGTCACTTGTATAATAATTTGGAACATGTATGGAAATAAATGTAAATGTATGTCAATTTAATAATATACATTATTTACCTGACAGAATAAGAATCAGAAAGAGATTTTAGAGAAAATAACTTTATCAAACTGCCGAAGCATGCAGTTTATTGGATGATCACAGGATGATGCATATAAAAACAACTTGACAAACGTGTCAGATGACTGTCATATGAATTGAGTAATTCCAACTGACACGCTCTCGCTCTCTCCAGGATGAGCTTGAGTTTGGTTACATTGACTCTCCCCATCATCGTTTTCCTGTTGTACTGGATTCTCCTCGTGATGGAAAACTTCAGGATTTCCCCTACGAGTCCATTCTGGTGAGTGACACCAAGAACTGCTCAGAAAAATTCAGTCAAAATTGAAAATTGTCATTTTCTCACCCTCATGTCATTAAAAAATGTTGATGACGGGATAGAATCATGTTTTGATCGCATACTAAAAGAAAGATGTTTAGAATCACTAAAACATTGCGTCACAGGGGCCAGACTTTGGATATGTGACCCGGAATGCTTTGAATGAGGAGGTGAGCAGTCTGGACTCCTTTGGTAACCTGGAGGTCAGTCCACCAGTCACAGTGAACGGGAAAAGTTACCCACTTGGCAGGATCATCATTGGTGTGGCATTCCCTACGTAAGTACCACAACTGTACCCTACAACTACAGTGTAGTAACCACAACTAAAAAGGAACATTGACATAATTGTTTTGGCTTCCAAACAATATGCTGGTGGATTAATCAAACTGTTACCAATCATTGAGAATATTTGTTTAATTTTAAGTGCAAAAGATGGCCGCAACATGACCCAAGTCGTCCAGGAATTCCTGTGGGCACAGAAGGTTCAAGAGCCAATAGCGCTCTTCTCTGATTGGCTAATTGTGGGTCATGTGGACGAGTTCATGACCTTCGTCCCAGCCCCTGACCGAAAGGTAAACAGATATGTTCAGAATGGCATACTAACATCCACTACCTAAATGATTAAGTATTAAGTAAAATAATTAAAGAAGTCTATTATGCTCACCAAGGCTGCATTCATTTGATCAAAAATATATTTTGTTTTCTGTTGTTATAAATTTCAAAATGTAATTTTATTCCTGTGAGGCAAAGCTGAATTTTCAGCATCATTACTCCAGTCTTCAGTGTCACATGATCCTTCAGAAATCAATATGCTCAAGAATTATTTTATTTTTTTTGCTGCTTATTATTTTTGTGGATACTGTGATATACTACCATTCAAAAGTTTGGGGCTTGTAAGATGTATTGAAATTAATATTTTTTTATTCAACAAAGATGCATTAAATTGATCAAAGAGACACAATAATACCGTTTTGGTCAAATAAAGCAGCTTTGTTGAGCATAAGAGACTTTCAAAAACAATTATTATTTAATTAAATAATTTTTCCAAACTTTTCTGTACTGTTCTTATTTTTGCAGTATGTTACTCAGTTTCGACCAGATTATGAATAAATCTAGACTTTTTGTTACAAAACTCGATTAAAAAATGTTTATTGCAGACATGATAACTGGATGCTGGTTGTAGACTCAATCATGCAACAACAGCGTAGCATGCTACCATCTGAAATGTCTATTTTTGCATCATGCATAGTGTTTCACACCCTTCTTTAAAATAGTACGCAGCATACGTACTCCACTCTGAACTCAGCCAATGTTTTTAAAGAGCTGTAATGTTTTAAATGTTCAGAAATTCCGGTTGCTGCTGGCTAGCCCGGATGCCGGATATAAAGTTTTCAAAAGCTTACAAAACACAGGACATGGAAAAGAGGAAATGTTTCCAGGTAAACTCTCACTAATTTTCTATTAAAAAAAAAGTTGTCCACTATGCACCAAAGTTCATATTCTAGCTAACATGTTTACTTGAACAGGAATGCCAGAAGCCATTACGGTTAATGCCATCCTGAGTGACAAAAAGCTACAGGCTGAAAACCGATACGTGCAGGTCAGTGAAATGAGCAACATTTACAAATTACACATGGCATTAAGATGTGTTTTGTATCCAAATAGTATCTATATATATTTTTAGCCAGATTACAGTACAGTGTTACAAATCTGTCTTTTCTATGGGAAATAAAGCATCATATAATCTTTCACTCAGAACTGCATTGACTGGAACAGGGACGTGCTGAAGAAAGAACTGGGGTTGGATGATGAGGACATCATCGATTTGCCCATCCTGTTTAAACTGCAAGTAGAAAAAGAAGAGAAGGAAACAAGCCCCAGGGCCGTGGCTTACTATCCCGACATGGTACAGCACATTATCAAGAACTTATTGAAAGTCCATTCACATTTTGACCACTTGCTTTTTCTTTTAACTCTTTCCCCGCCAGTGTTTTTTTTTTTTTTTTAAGTTTCCAGCCACCGCCGGAGTTTTTGATCATTTTCACAAAATTGTCATCATGGCCCCCAGAATATTTAGTTGTATGAATATCTGAACATGCAATATAACAAAAAAAAAGAAAAAACATTTTTTATTCTAGCTTCTAGCTATTAACACTTAATTGTGGGTGAGTTTCATAAAACAAGCAACATTTTGAACAAAAAGCTGTGAAAATCACATTTTTGTCAAAGTCCAGATCGGATTCAGAACGAGGATCAAAACATAGGTGGAGTAGATGGATGTTTGGAGTAGACAAACACAGAAAGCCGTACATTTCCGTCAATGGTGGGGAAAGAGTTAATGGAAAATAGATGATCAAAACATGCACTACTGTTCAAAAGTTTGGGCCTCGGCAAGACTTTCTATTGTCTCTTACACTTACTCGTAGTTATTTTTTTTATGCATTACCTATATTTACCTTCAGGTGAACATGATCGTGTTGGGGGACCAGCTGGGCATCCCAAAACCTTTCGGGCCCCAGGTGAAGGGCCGGTGTGCTCTGGAGACAAAGATGTGTTCTCTTATGGAGCCTCTAGGCCTTAAATGTACCTTCATTGATGACTTTGCCCCATACCACAAACTGCTGGGGGAAGTTCACTGCGGTTCCAATGTTCGTCGAGAACCATCCCCTTTCAGATGGTGGAACATAGAGCTGTGAGAGAGAGAGAGGGAGACTAGGAAGAATAGAGACCTGTCAAGTGCCTACTATGTCTAAAGCAGGATTAATGGGTGTTTTAACTAGTTCATTCTAGCAATAAACAATGCATACAGCCTTGTCCTTCAAGCAAAATGGAATAATTCATCTAAAAATGTAAACTCTGTCATCATTTACTCACCCTCATGCTCTTTTTTTATATAATGATAAAGTGCTGTCAATCCACCCCACAAATCATTTCTGTCACTATGCACTACATGTTCTGAAGTTGTACAACAGCTTTCTGTAAGGAATCACACGTGTGAGCAGATTATGACAATTTTGTGATCTTTAATATCTTTTAAATAATTTTCCAAATTCTTAGAACTTTCCTCTGGCAACCAGGCCTTGTTTTAGCAGTACAGCTATTCCTGGGGCTGCTTCATTATTTCTAAAATAAAAAAAATAAGGGCTTACAATTAGGAATAATTCTTTGAGTGGTTCATATGAATGTTATGGCATTAGGACGCATGAATGTTCACTGTGTTGCCTCTTACTAATAATGACTGAGAAATTGATTCTATAATTGGTGATTTGCTGTCTTGGATGATTTTCCAAAATAATGTACATTTAAAGCAATAAATAAACATTTCATGAACCCTTTGATCTTTATTAAACGTGATTTCTCTGGTTTTATTACAAAAAGGAGAAAAGGTCTTATTTACAGTAAAACATTTCATTAAAGTAGCATAATAAGCACTTGTAAAAGAACACAATCACTTGCAGAAAGCAGTCGGTGTTTGTTTGGAATGAGTTTGTGCTTAATGTCTGGAGCATGTGCAAATGCATTATGTACAGTTTGACCAATCAGCAGAGATTTAGGCTCTAACACAGCTTTAAGTGTTGATTCAGCTAATCCAAAAATATTTTTCTCTTCTCCATGTACAGTTTTATAAGCATCACCCCTGAAAGGACCTAAACACCACTATTCATGTAAAAATCCCTCAAAAAAAAAAAAATTCTACTGGACCTTTTCAAATGAGAAGTGAACTGGGATGTTAGTCGTAGAGTAGATTAGAGTATTAGAGTAGATATTTTGCCAGTGACTGATGTTTTTAATGTCACAGCTTGGTATATTTGCTTAGAATAATTCATCACATTTACAGCTCATGTAATTGGCAAAAAACAAACAAAAAAAAACTGTATCCCATAAGCCAATGAGATGAATGGGAATGCTAACTAAAACATTGGTGTAAAAACTAAAACATTTGGAATGGGCAGTTTAAGTCTTAACATTAATACAATTTGTGTTTGAAAACAAAACAAAATGTCCACCATTTTTTATTGAGCATCCATTGAGTATATTCTCTGACCTAGTGTTTTTAGTGGCCATATCCACTATCATCCGTCTGCAGTTCCATCAGTTTTACATTCATATTGCTCACTTGCCATATAAGCTAAAAAAAGGCTTCAGTAAATCTGACGTGAGAGACACTGACCCTTCAATCTGCACAGCAGGCTTTAAAACATGAAACTACAAACATGAAGCTACTACATTAGTGTACAGTTTACACACACGTCAATTTTACCACAAGCAGCTGTGGCCGTACAAAACATGTTGATCCGTAAAACAGCACAATCTTAATAAATAATAATATTTAAAAAACGTATACAGCATCTCACGCCTGATCTATTTGTTTTGTCATAAATGATAATGTCTATATGCTTTGTTTATTGGACAGGATCTGAAATGGCTTGGGTGCTTGACACCCAGAAGAAACATCTATCCGAAGAACGACATTTAACATTTACCTATATTCAATTTTCAACATCATTACTCATTACTGACACAAAACGCAACCGAACAGAACCACACATAGATGTGTATTACAGTGCTTTGCGGGTCCACGTGTATTTTAAGCATGATGGATTTAGGTTGAACTTCATTTGTTATTCTGAAAGATGCCGAAAGCTTGTGACCGCTTTTCACCCCCCCCTTTCTAAAAGACCTACACACCACAGTGAGCCTCAATAAATAAATAAATATGACAAATAAAAAACAAACACACAATGAGAGCCAGTTAAAGAAAGAAAGAAAGAAAGAAAGAAAGAAAGAAAGAAAGAAAGAAAGAAAGAAAGAAGCCTATGATAAGGCCATAAGAATCATGCGTGATTGGTTTCCCAGCTGGCAGTGCACCAGTCTTCAACAGATGCCAGGCGGGTTTGCTCTTTTGCCTGCAGTCCAACAGCCACATGATAGAAGATAAAGAGGTGGTGTGTGTCCTTACAAGAGCGCGCTGATATTCTGATGCACACTTGCCCCGACTGTACGCCGCGGGACTGTAACTAGTGCTTCACACACTTTCACATCTGTGTCTCTCGAGGAACTCTTATGAGCACATCGACTGTCCACTGCGAAGGGCTGCTTATGAAAATGCTGAGAATAAGACATATGATTCATGAGAATAAGATATAAGAACTTATACACATACATTATGTATACGTTTATACTGTATATAGATTTTTATGGAAAAAGTCTCTTCTGGTCACCAAGGATGCTTTTATTTAATCAAAAACACAGTAAAAACTATAATACTGTGAAATATTATTACAATTAAAATAACTTTTAACTGAAAATAACTGATGTTGTGTAAAAATGTGATGCAAAGCTGAATTTTCCGCATCCTTACTCCAGTTTTCAGTGTCACATGATCCTTCAGAAATCATTCTAATATGCCGATTTGCTGCTCAAGAAACATTATTATCAATGTTGAAAATCAATATTTTTGTGGAAACCGTTATACATTTTTTGTTCAGGATTCTTTGATGATTTCAAAAGAACAGCATTTATTTGAAATTGAAATCTTTTGTAACATTATAAATGTCTTTACTGTCACTTTTGATCAATTGAATGAATCCTTGCTGAAAAGAAGTATTAATCTCTTCGGTAACACTTTACAATAAGGTTCATTAGTTAACATTAGTTAACATTAACTAAGAATGAACAATACTTCTTCAGCATTTATTAATATTAGTTAATAATTTCAACATTTACTAATACATTATTAAAATTAAAGGTTGTATTTGTTAACATTAGTTAATGCACTGTGAACTAACATGAACAAACAATTAACAGCTGTATTTGTATTAACTAACATTAACAAAGATAAATAAATACTGTAACAAATGTATTGCTCATTGTTAGTTCATGTTAGTTAATACATTAACTAATGTTAAATACCGGTAATGAACCTTATTGTAAAGTATTACAATTAAAAAAAAAAAAAAAAAAAAAAAACTAACTCTTTATAAGGTCTCATTTGTTAGCATTAGTTAATGCATTGATTACCCAGAACTTACAAATGACCAATATATTTTTAAAGCATTCATTAAACTTTGTCAATGTTAGTTAATACAAATCTGTATGTTAGTTCACAGTGCATTAACTAAAGTTACAACTTTTGACCTTAACATTTTGGTAACACTTTAGTTTAGGGTCCATTTCTCACTGTTAATTAGTTGCTTATTAGCATGCATATTACTAGGATATTGGCTGTTTATTAATACTTATACAGCACACATTAATGCCTTATTGTGCATGACCATATTCTACATCCCGTAATCCTATTCCTGAACTTAACAACAGCCTTACTAACTATTAATAATTAAAGAGTGACCAAAAGTTTTAGAAAATTGTGAGATTAACACTAAGATTAGTAAATGCTGTAGAACTATTGTTCTTAGTTATTGTTAACTTATGTAGTTAACTGATATTAACAAATGAACCGTGAATTGTAACCAAAAAATCTGAAATCTTCCTGACTCCAAAGTGAACAAATAAAACATAAAAATCATAAATGAGGCCATTAAGAGGTATACATTTAAATGACACACCCATATAGACCTTATGCAGCGGAGAAACAAACATGCAGCCTTCTTTAGAACTTTGTGTTTGAACTTCAGTTTTTGCGGCAGCTCTGTATATTTCTATGGAATCGCTGTCGAAGAGTAATTAGCTGGTGAAGTGGATTGACTTATTGTAGAGTTAACGAAATCTATCATGAGCATTGTAATGTTTGAAGAGGATGTCATAACAAATGTCAGTAGACCGGGAAGATTTTAAAACGAGTAGTTCATTCATAAATCCGTAAGATCTTACCTTCACGCTGTGGAAACACAAACCGGAAGACAGAACACAACGAGCGCAGCGCTGAAACGGCTACATAAGGTCTATAGGCTCCATAAATATATCATAGATATAATCCTCATTTTTGCTTTTCCTAACCTGTTGATGGACATCCATGAAGTCATCTACAGCCTACAGGACAGCTAGCAGTTCTGTGTAGGACAAACACACACAGGCACACTGCGTCACAGATGATTTACTCGACTAAACAAATATTAGACTACATTAGATCTGTTGTTCAAGAGCAGTTATACAGGTAAAGAGAGAGAGAGAGAGAGAAATGGTCGTGCTATGACTTCAAATGGATCAAATCGAGCATGTTAATCAACATTAGTCATGGTTCGCAATCATAATTTAGCTTCTCACGACCATCTTCCACCCTCCCTGACACCCTTTTTTCTGCTCTGGCTGTAAGACTTCATCATCTTTAGGACTAGAATATCTTTAAGGGCCATCACATTTCTTACCGAGTGTTGTCTCTCTGTTTTGGGACGTAGAGGTTCAGACTGCTGTCGAATGGGACCTACAGTGAAACGGACGACTGTTAAAGCCTGGACACAAATACAAACTATATAAACTCTACCGCAGTGACAAGGCCAGAAATCACAAAAACATATGCGGAATACAGATTTGATCAGTGTTGTTATCCTTAGCTAAACATGAAACTGTTTAAAAAGTTGTTGGTAATAGAAATGAAGCTGAAATAAAACATTACATGAAAAACTTAAACTTAAAAAACTGAAAATGAAAATTGGAAAAAAAGACAAAACACAAAACAAAAGTAATAAAACTTAAACTAAAATTAAAATGAAAACTGAAAATATAAAAATAAATAATCAAGTATAGCTGCACAATCCAGCGGCAAACGTCTTTAATAGTTAATTATGGTCAAAATAGTTTAAAACAGCTCTCCAATGTTTTCCAGTTTGTTATATCTCACTTCTTAAAGTAAAAATGCAATATCACAGTGGGAAGTGGAGATTTTGTTTGATTCTGTTTGTTATATTTTTTACTATTACTATAACATATAAGTTGCATTTACACATTTGACAGATGGTTTTATCTCTGGGCAACACATGACCTTGGCATTGTTATCATCATGCACTACTGTTTGAGCTACAGGGAAGCTAATGCTAAAGAGCGGTCAACATATTTCTGGCCTCCTCAATGTAGCATTTAGACACACAAAAATCCAATAACTTTTTTCATAGTCAAACATTTCAATTATAAGTAATCCAGGTAATATCTGTTCACATGTTTGTTAAACCTCACCATGTGAACTGCTCTGACTAGCACTACCAGAGCCGTCTTCCAACCACACGGCGCTGTATGAAAATGAATCTCGTTTGTGAGGCGTACCGGCTGAAGACAGACTGTCCTGTGTTCCAGAAAAAAAAGAAAAACATGCAAACAACATAACCAGTCAGTCTTGCCAAATTATCTAGGTGTACTGATATTTCTGTTCAGGTGATTAAATGCAAATTCCAATACGCCCATATGCATTTGGATGCGAATAGTACAGGCGTTTAAATACAGGTCGTCTTCTCTGCCTGTCAGTTTTAATGTATTGTATGTACTAGAACAATTTGATCACAATGTATCTATGGAATCATGTATTAATGAGTCATATGTGGATGTGGCCGCACCAGTCCCGTGTCGTACTCCTCTGTAGCTTCATGTTGCTGCTCGTTCTCCTCCACCACACTGGTGAAGCTGCTGGCATTGGACGAGGAGCGAGAAAGGTCCTGGGACTCTGGGATAGAAGGAGCTCGACAGCACAGGGCGGAACTACCGTACAAACACACACACACACAAGGTCAAATGAACCTGAAATAATTAACTAACCACCCTTAAAGTGCCACTATTATGCTTTTTTGGATATTACCTTTCATGTAGTGTGTGATATATATATATATAGCTGTTTGTGGATGTAAAAGGTCTGCAAAGATCAAATTGCAGGACAAATGGAGTTTTTGTCTCCCAAAAGAAAGTAAAGATTCACAAACCTTCAAAGGTTTGTAACACATTTGCATAATGGCAGTCTATGGTCTTCATTGGCTGCCTGTGAACAACATCTACTCTCTCAAACACTGTAGTTGTATCTGAGGCCTGGAAGAGTTTGGTTCGTGTTGTGGACATGTCGAGGAGCATGCACTTCCAAAGGATGAGGACTCGGGCTCAAATTGATACGATAAAACCGGCACCATTGTAAATGTTCGTATCACTGTGTATCAAGTGCTGAGGAAACGTCCGGGGCTGAAATTCAGATATGGTAATGGCCGTTTAGTTTTGTAAGCGGTAGACCAATCACAACAGACTGGGCTGTTTGACCAATCAGAGCAAAGATCAATCCTTGATCGAACCGGTTCAGACATTGTGAGAAAAGAGGTGATGAGAAAATGAAAGTGTTTTTTGACCTTGGATGCATGTAAACCTATTGTAGGAGACCTCCAAAACAACATTAGGAGCCTTTAAAATAGCATAATAGGGGCACTTTAAACGCACATGGTTAATGATTTCTTCTTTTTGATTTCAATCAACATATCACCAAACACAAATCATCGGCACATTAAAAGCAAAAGCTGCTCACTTTTTGACCTTTGCACTACTCTGTCCATGTGGTTAAAAGGTGTTGCTTGGGCTGTATTTTGCTATTGCATAATGATAACGGAGTATGATATGATAGAATCATGGGCCACATTCATGTTTAGTGATTGCAGATGCAATTTCTCAACACATTCATCGCAGTTTAAAGGAGTTGTAATACTAATGACTCATTGACAAACTAGTAAATCTATAACAATTGCTTAAACTAATATAATGGAAAGCAGTTGGGAGTGGTTCTGTGTAAAGTTTGAACCTATCAAGGAGCGGTCCAAGAGAAACTGCAATGGTTCTCTTTGAACAAGCTAACTAACCTCAGGTTATAGTCTATTTACTTACTACACATTCTGATGCACATACGATACTATTTAGAAATTTGGGGTCAGTATGATTTGTGGTGATTTTGATTATGATTATGATTTTGATGGGGTCAGAAAGACTTTTTTCAAAAACGAAAAAAAAAAAAAAGTTTAAAAGTAGTGTGTTATAATGCTTATAACAATGATTTAAAAAAAAAAAAAGTACATAAAAGACAACGAATTCACATAATAATAGACAACTTTCCTGGAATGTAAAGATCAGATCATATAAAAATAGTAGGGGGAAAAACTAGAATTCCAGATACACAGTGTGGGTTTAAAGGAAGTGTGCATTAGAGTGTGATTTCATGCAAACAGACGTCAGTGTTTTCACTGGTGCTCACCCAAACTTGGTGGTCGGCATCTCAGGTGAGCTCTGATTGGACCAGTTGTCTAATCTGAGGTCTTGAAGGGTGTGTCCACCATCAGATGCCCTCTGTGGACTCGGGGACACCTCTCGACTACTGTAACATAATGATTAACACATCTTAATTATTGTTTTCAGAACTTCAATTTCTGAATTAACCTTAACATGACACAATATTGTAAAAACTAATAATAATAATAATAATTATATATATTATTAATTTTCAGATACTTACTGACCTTAACACACAGTAATGAGAGTGTAATCTTTTAATATTTCCTGTTTTATGGTTTTCTTGTCAACAAGTCAACAAGACGACTTCATGCATGTTGGTTATAACACAATAAGTTAAAATTAGAGGACAGCTTTCAAATATTACTATTAATTATAAAACAGGTTTTATTAAAGGGATAGTTCACCCAAAAATGAAAATTCTGTCATCATTTACTCACCCTCAAGTTGTTCCAAATCTGTATAAATTTCTTTGTTCTGCTGAACACAAAGGAAGATATTCTGAAGAAAGTTTGTACCCAGGCACCATTGACTTCCATAGTAGAAAAAAACCACACCATGGAAGTCAATGGTGCCCCAGAACTGTTCAGTTTCCCACATTCTTCTAAATATATTCCTTTATGTTCAACAGAACAAAGAAATGTATACAGGTTTGGAACAACATGAGGGTGAGTAAAAGATGACAGAATTGATTATTTTTCTTTTCCTTTAAGTAATGAATTATGGAAAACTACTTTCCCCAAAAAATGTCTGCCTATTATTTATTTTTTGTTATGAAGACAGAATGTCCACCTTAAAAAAAACTTTTTTGAAACCTTATTAAGGTTTCTTACTTTCTAAACCTTCCAATGGCTTCAATTTTACCATACAATTGTCAGTTCATCTTACCTTCTCTCCTGAACCTCTTGTATATTCTCAATCCCAATGGCGCTGCTCCTTCTGGAACTGAACGGACCAGATTTCTTACGGGTTGGGCTTTTTCCAGGAATAATCAGGGACTGTGGAGAAATCACAATAGGGTCAGATTTTGATTCAAATTATTAGCCAGTTCCACTACATAATTTCTTCAATATATGCACTTTTATTTAAATTTTTATTTTTATCTTTTTTCATTTTAAGGCGATTTAAATGCATTTTTATTATTATTATGCGAGCAAAATTTGAATTACCATTATGTATGAAATGTTTTGTGTAAATCAACTTGCTGTGCTTGCTATTGGCATTAGGGTGGTGATAGATTTATGATTAAACACAAAGGAATCAGGTATGATATCAGGTAAAAGCAAAGCAGAAACTGGATTATCAGCGCAACACACTCCACCTCAGATTACTTAAGAAGACTGTCCCTGTAATTGTATGTGTTGTATATTGCTCAGATTAACACAATAATAGAACATGCTGTAAAACACATTTTTTAATGGAATGAATATAAAAGTAATAATTTTTAAGCTGCAACTCTTAAACTGAAGAACTAGAGACCCCAGTTACCACTTTGTCTTTGAGCACTCTTATTGTTATTATTATTATTAATAATAATAAAAAGGAACAAGCCTTTCAATATCATCAGAGTTGATAAATTTCATTTGATCTTAAGTGTAACACAGATCAGATCTGTGCAATAAGTCTTGCGGTGTAAATGCAGCCTAGATGACCTTGGAAATCAGCCCAGAATGAACAATCCTGGTTTAACCAAGCTGTCAGCAAATTTACAGTTATGCACACGTTTGTTGCAAACACACTAGCACATTTGGATGGCTAATAGGCTGTTATGTCAACCTGTCATGAAAGTCTCTCTGAGTTATTGCTGTTGCTTTTGTTGTCATAGCGACGGAGATGGGACGGTCACTTGTGGAGAGCCCCATCTGTTCCACCGACCCCCATCCAGACAGATCATAAGAGCTGATTACACATCAGTTTTTCTCTCTTTTAATGCTGAAATGATGAAGATCAGAAATGGCAGGAGAAGACCTGGTCTACCATCAGCACAGATGTGCCATGATGACACAAGCACTCAAGGGTCAAACCCACTCAAAGGGCACAGCGAATGCCAGCTGCGACCCGCCGGGCTGAGGGATCAGAGGGCATGAAGACTGGCACAAACTACAGCTGGCACACTGACTGAATTTATTTTTTTATCAAGTTGTTGTGTCTTTTTAACAATTTAAGGTCCACTGACATCCAGAAGGGTCTTCATACTCACAATTCCAGGAGTTTTGGGAGTTTCTGGAGGGTTGTTGGTAAAGCTTCCACTGTGGCTTGTGGAGACGGTGTGCGGTTTCTTGTTACTGAGGCCCATAGCATCCATAGATTGACTTCTATTGCGGATAACTCGCTAGAAAGAGAAAAATGATGCATATGCATCACTGCAACGCAACACTAGAGGGCACAAGAACTGCTTATATGAGAAACAGGAGAGCTAGAGAGAGTAAAGTAAAGGACAGTGAAACGAAGAAAGTGTCTATGTTTGGACTAGCATCCTACATACAATTACTGCAGCAGTATGTATATACTGTGAGATGTACAAGCATTTTCTATAAGTGCAGAATACCAGATGAGCTTCATTTACCAAAATGTAGTAAATGTGAGTGTGTGAACACTGTAATCCACAAAACAATTTGCTCAATTTCACCCTCCATTTCCAGTGTGCCTTTTCTATTCTTTGAGTTAATTGACTAATTTACTTTTGCAAGACGTTTTTACACAAAATTACAGCAAAACTGTTGCGTACTGCTGTTTGAAACTTTTATTTGTTCCATAATGCATACTGTTTAACATCCAAAAGGTTAAGGGCAGTACAATTTTGACTGTTTTTTTTTTTTTTTTGCTAGAAATTAATACTTCTATTTATCAAGAATGCATTAAATTGATCAAAAGTGACAGTAAATACATTTACATTCATACATACAATATTTAAATAGATTTTCCAGTGCATTTTTTTTTTACCTTTATACATACCTTTATAAAATAAATAATGTTCAATAAAGAAATATCCAATTATGGTAAAAACAAAGTGATACTTTTAAATATATAAACTAAAACCGCCAGTAGGTGGCGGTAAGTCACTCATCGAGTTCATTTTATTCATTTAGTAACAAACCAAGTGGCTGTATTTATGAATGAATGGGTCATTGAATCACTGACTCTCCCGATTCGTTCTACGCCGTAGATTCGTACACGACACCCCGCTGTGTGCTGCAGTTCTGCTGTGGCTTGCGTTGGAACTATTATTTCGTTGCAATATAGTGCAAAACTGCCAATAGTGTGTTTAAAATGTAGGCCTACATCACTTATAATTATCCTTTTGATTGCTGTATGAAATCAGTGTCACGATTGGAATCGTGTGGATATTTGGGAAAATTGCATTCTTGCTCGTATAATATTTGATCAAAATGAAAAACAAGAACTCACACAGGGTGAGACAGGTTTTTGTATCGAAGAGAGTTTGAGTCTTAAATCGATCTCTATGCACTCTCTGTTTCTATGTTTGTTCTTCATGCTAGTAAGTGTTAAAACCCCACTTTTACTTGTACATTGATATTCTAAGGTGGGGTAGAATTAAATGAATGGCAAAATTCAGCATTTTGTTTGCGTACCCCCCTCTGTCACCTCTGGGGTGACAGAGAGTAGAACCACTGAGTTAGCGATTTTGGGAACCACTGAGTTAGCGACTTAAATGGATTCTACCTTGAAAGACTCAAAGAAGCCACCGCCTCCGCCTCCTCCATTCTCCAGTTTGTCATCATCTCCTCCCAGTCCCATCATGGACTGGCTGTTCACATGCAGCTCCTCATATAAAGTCTCCAGCAGAGCAGAACGTGTCCTCTCCTGGATAACAAAAACATTTTTAATGTAGCATGCATGCCGATGCTCCCACACAAACATAAATACAATCATTTATGCCCTTCTCACCTCCAGCTTGGCAAACTTCTCTGCTTTATAGCAGTAATATTCAGCATTGATCAGTTTGGTCAAGAGGAACTCATGAAACTCCGGACTCTAAACAAAACACAATTAACAGTGAACAAATTAGATTTATACAAAGAACAGTTTGAATGTTTTTTAGATAAAATTATATATCAATTCAGTTATTTATTAATTCACCAAGTCATATCGCTTACAATTAAGCTAGCAATCTATATTTGCAGAAGAATTGTTTAAATTGATTCCATTATTAATTTAAAAAAAACTATATTTAATAAAATTGCTCGTCACCAAGGCTTTTTTTTAGGCTTTTTCATAATTAAACAGTAAATAAGACGTTTCTGTAGTCATATCCAGACATGAAAATTTAATTTTTCCACATTTTCTGTGCTAATTTTTATGGGAAAAACCCAGAATCTCCAGAATGTATTTAAATATGGTGTAACTGAACTAAGTGTGCTTGACACTTATTGGCATCTGAAAGTAGAATTAATAAACCAAAATACTTCATAAAAGGAACATCAATGATTTGTAGAATTTTGTGATAGAATTCCAGGACAATGATTCCATGTGGAACTAGTCATATTACATGAATGCTGGCTGAAAATATGTACCTTTTTAAAGACAGCTGGGTCTGGGAGGGCAGGACCAAAGAAAGGCACATCATCTCTCGCCGTCACAGATACCTACAGTAACATAAAATAAATTATGACAGATATCAGGAAAGCTTTCAAACTGATCTTTAATTCTCTATGCACAATAAGCTATAAGTGACTAATCTATTATACTGGGAATCATCATCGCATATTCATTTGAACAAAAATCCTGAATCAAAACAATCACTCCAAGTATGTGATGAATTCCTATAACAAAGAAATGATTTATTCGGTATAATCCATGGCTCAAGCTTCAGTTTGAATGATTCAAACATGATTAATGAATGAATTACCTTATAGAGGACGTTATCAGTGCAGGCGTTCTCGACTTGCACCACTACGTAAGCGTGAAGGAAGTTTGATGCGATCATATCTGGTACAAATGGTGTATTTTCTTCTTGGAACACAATAGCCACAATGTCATTTCCTATATGCCTCTTCCTCTGGAGCTGAAATCAAGCCAACAAAACTGTGAAGTAATAAGAGGAAGCTGCCCGTAAGGTCTTTACAGACAATTTAGATTCATTAAACTAAAACAGACCATTCGCTTGAAAAAAAATAGTTTGTGGTCTCGAACAGAATCAACACTGTTATAGCAGTTTGTGAGGTATATTATACTACTTTCACACAAATTAAACACACTCCCTATTGTTGCATTCGATTTTTACTTTTAATTTTGGTTCTGACTGGCCCAAACATTTTAAACCAAAACTAGTTTGTTCTAAGTGTGAAAATATTCAGTATTCACACTTAGAACAAACCAGTTTTGGTTAAAATATTTTGGGCCAGTCAGAGCCAAAATTAAAAGTAAAAATCTAATGCAACAATAGGGAGTGTGCTTAATAAAATCAATGGAGAAAAATATGGAGAAATGTATATGAAGATTTTCTGGGATTAATCATACTGTTAATTCACATGAACACATGTTTATTTAGTTATGAGTAGTCCTTATGAGTGTCTTCACTTATTGTGGATGAAAATTTGCTATTAAAAAAAATTGCTATTAAAAATAATAGTCGGCCATTAGTTTTAGTTCTAACAATTGTCATTTTCCCTAACCAGATACTAGATTAAAATTCTTGATAAATTAAACATTAAAACAAATGTAGAATCTCACAATGAAAATGCATAAATAAGATGATTTTGCATGTTGTATTATGAGCATATTACTTGTTGCACTAGTTTTTCTTTTGATTTTAGGGTGAAGTATGACCTGGTGTGTTCTTGATGCTTTTGATATGCTTTGTGAGATTCGCCCTTATACTGACTTATTATTTCCTAAATTTCCCACAAAATAACAATATTGGATCAAAATATTATACATATTGCAGACTGATTTGTGTTTTATTACACCAATGATGTCAAAGCCCTGAATTTCAGAACAATAATTCAATTTATACTTGATTTAACATGCGACAAAAGAATAATAGCATTCTGCAGGGTGTCAATTTTATCTCCCATAAACCTTCAAATGTTTATCCGATTAGCTTTCCTCAGTTGAACCGCTCATTCGCTCTCTTCACAGCTTGCTCATAAATACTTATTAGAGAGTACTGTCATAACAGAAAAATGGTTCACAGACATTCACAAGTTCAAAAGAAAACTGCTTGTCTTTATCATCAAAGTGTTCAGGAAATTAATAAGACATACGGAAGCATGTTTACAGCCCTGTGCCAAACATCACAGTCAAAACGATGTTTTCAGATAGAAACAAACCATTTTAAGGCAAAAACTAATTTGTCGCTGCCAGTCTGGAGGTCATTACCATATCACTATACAGTAGCTCTCATGTAACATCACATATCTGGTACAATAGCGATTAAAAAGCAGCAGGTGATGAGTCTGTACCCATTTGTTTTCCTTGGCCTCTGAGGTACCATATTGAATAGGGTATGTTTTAGTGGCCAGCATTGTAAGAGGGCAGTCTGTGCTGAAACCCCTAGGTGATGTTCTCCCTGAGCAAAGCAAAACATGCATGACAACAGATGGCTTTCCAGGATCAGTCTTTTGCACTGTGTGGTTTGTTTGCTAATTAACAGAGCATTCTGTTGGTCGGTGTATTTGCCCAGCAGAGGGAAAGCATCTCCGGGGGCTGCAACTGGTTACCCAAAACTAACACCTAACTGTGACATAAAACAATATTCCAGAATGTTACTGGTTTGTCATAAAGGTGCTTATGTATTCTTCCATATTTACCCACCTTCTAAGGGTGATCAAAGGTTGATTTATTTAAAGGGGTCATGGCGTTTTTTTTATTTATTCACTTCAAAATGTTCATGTTAAAATATTCATGTTAAAAACAAATGAAGAGTTCAGATGCAAAACCCTCTAAATCCGTCTTCATCCGTCAAATCAGACTTATTTTCTTTAAATGAGCATTTTTTTATCAGGCTCCTATGTTCACGTCCAGTAGTTTCATTTTAAAGGTACTGATAAGGTTATTAGTCAGTGAATAAAATAACTTTTTTTCAAAAATGTCACTTTAGTCAATTCAGTGATTTTTAACAAATTAGATTTTCTTTTGTGTCAAAAACAGCTAAATCCACTTGTGCTTTTTTCGCAAAAACCTCTAAATACACCTCTTTGGGACAAGACATAATAAATAGCTGTAAAATCACTAAAAATGTAACTAGAAACACTGAAAAAGATTAGAGCACATTCATTTCAAAACTAAACAGTAGACAAACCTCTTTACAGGGGGGCTGAATGAGATATTTGCAAATCCCACCCCATTTCTCTGCAGTCACCTTTCTGCCCTGTCTGAATAAAGACAAAAGCCTCCCCCCGATTCACACAGTACAACCACATTGGCAAAAAAGAATTGGCGATTCAAATAGTGTATTGTATAATCAAGTAGAACAGAGCAAAATTCCACTGTACCGATTTTCTTTTGCCTTGTAACGGGAAGAGTTTTGAGGTAAACAACGTTTTTTTCTGCCATTTGATGTCAGTAGGACAGGCTCATCCATTTAATCGTACTCCATCTTAAAAATGTAAAAAATCTGAATCCAAAACCAAAACAATCTCCTCAGCCGTCTCAAAAAATCCGTCTCCTCCGCGCGCCACTCTATTGAAACAGCCTGTACTGATTCGCGCCTTCTGATTGGTTCTTGGGATGTAGCGGCTTTTGCTGCCAAAGGGAAGTGGCGTCTAGAGGCTTTTGCCGACAAACTGATATTTCTGAATGGGCTGAGGCTGAGATTTAGAGGATTTGAAGCAAATATATTTGTTGAACGTGTACTATGTTCAGATAGCTTTCACTCAATGTCATTATCTCATTTTTGACGGAGGTGGCGTTTAGAGGCTTTTGCATCTGAACTCTTCAAATATATATGCGGGAATACTTTGTCTTACCTGCTGGGAATCACCTTCAGTGTATGGTAGCTTTGTGGACACGTGGAACATTATCTCTTTATTGTGGAAGTTGTGGTAGACTGACTCGGTTCCTGTCTGGCCATGTGTAACATCCAGGCCACCACGAAAGCTGCATTACGAGAGAAGACCAAAAAGCTCTAAATTACTTATTAATATTTATTAAGATTAATATATTTTTTAAAACTCAAATATGCCAGCTGTTGTGATGTACAAACAATGCTTTGTTGGTCCTGTGACAACATTCAAATCAAACAATCACAGCCATTACTCAACATTTAATCCTGACCTAGGCCTGAAATCAATAAGGAAAATTATTATGTAATAAGTAGAACTGAACAACTCTCCACCTAACCCTAAAATGTGATTGGTCAATACGAATGTTGTTCCAGGAACAGGAAAAAAGTCCTAGTTGGGTAAACCATGTACTGTTTGTCTATATACCCTTTAAAATCATGAAGTTCAATCTTCTCTCCCAAGAACTCCAGAAACTCAACAAAAGCTGGACTTTCCTCACTGTTTCCAAATAGCTCCTCTTCTGTTGTCTGTAGAAGAGAGAATGTATTTGGGCCACAAGTTTCACAATTGATATAAATTAAGCATGGTGTAAACCAGGAACATAAAAACAATGAAAGGTGACCTAACCTGAGCAAATTTCTGGAAGATGACTCCAAACTTGAAGTTGTTATTGATGACATGCTCATCAAAGCTCACAATGAGTCTGGATGCCTTGAAACAGGTTACAAATGAGGGTCTGTGTACTGAATATTGCTTTTTTTTTTTTTATGTGTCTGTTCCAGCTTACCTTTGGGTATAAGACGGGATAAAATCTGTCCACATTCACCTCTTCACAGACAAGCTTGGGAATAAATAAATAAATAATAAAAGAGATTTATCTCATTATCTAATCAAATTATTTTGTCTAATTACTAAGGTTGTCAACTTAATTTACAACAAAAAGTGATGCAAATTAAGCAAAATGTATTTACTCATCACATTAGGTTTATGTTCTCATTGAGATAAAATAAATGGACATAAAAATCACTTTTTGTAACATCTCATTTGCATTGGACTTTTCTCAGCAAACATTGACATGTGGAATTAATTAATTGAAATGTATAATTACAAAAAAAAAATCATTATAAATATATAAAATTAATAAATGCATCTGCATGCCATGTAATTAATTTGAATAAATAAATTCAACAACAAAAAAAAATTATTCTTCTCAAGCTACCTTCGCCATCTGGACAACATTAGGGAACTCGGTCAGACAAGAAATAGGGATCACATCATGGTAGGTTTTAAACTTCGACCTAGAATTAATAGACGAGAATAGAATTATAAGATTCACAGTATCCACCATTACAAACTATTCAAAGTAACATTATAACAAAACTAGCGTCAGCCTCAATTGTCCTGTATTAAAGTCACTTTGGATAAAAGTGTCTTCTAAATGCACAAACATATAAATGTAATTAAAACTATATTTAGCATGCAGGAAGGCAAAGACAGACAGACAGAGAGAGATGAATGGTAGTTCGTTCAAAAAGTATAGCCATGTGAATCACTCCAGCATTCACAGGTGCCCTTGTCAATTTTTTTACAGCCAGTGCATAACATTCAAAGAGTCCCTGAAGAGCTCCCTTCATAAAAAAGAGAGGCTTTTTAGATCAGCTTCTTTCTGACATGTACACGGCCGGGGCTATTGTTCCCATCCCATCCCCATCATTAAAGGGCCTCAAGACAGGCTGTGGGTTATATAAGAATAGATGTGCCCTTGTGTTATTGCTGCATATTTAGAGCACGCAAGTCAGACCAGCTTCGAGAGAATATGTAACAGAGGACAGTGGATGTGAATGTTTCTGGAACCGGGTTGTGCATCATTCAGATCTGAATTGAGAATTGAGAGTAGCAAAAAGGATGCAGAATTGTAAATCGAATGTAAGGAAGTAGCATTAATAGGAAATTAAAGTTTCTTCTGAGAAATGGAGATGCACATTTTGTGGCTTTTGTGTCCTTTTACTATGCAGTATATTAGTTATTTACTTATGTATCTTAAGGTATTTTAGAAGAAAATAATCTGTGACAAAAGTATTAATGAAACATAACTGAGAATTCAAAACATCAAAGCAATACATTTTTCATCTGGGAAGAGTCGAGAGTGTGTGTGTGTTTGAAGTACCTAAACAACAGTCGAAGGTGCTCCTGGTCTCCAATCACATCATACTTCACAGAGAAGACCAGGTGTCCCAGGGCGCTGTCCACGGAGTAATAGTTAAAGTGTTCCTGTGGGAAGAGTTATAAACAGACATAAACTCTCAGAAAGACTCTTTACTTCACAGATTGCTAAAAGCTCTGACCCTAATAGACAGCAAGCTCAAAGAGTATTATCACTGCAGAGGGAAATGACAATAACGGCAATCAAGGACAGAACAACCAACTCAAACACTCCTGTTTACATAAGAATCCTCCATTCATTTATTCATTGGCGAGAAAACAGTCCTGACTTGATTTTGGGATTGAACTCTAGAATGTTTTTTTATTTTATATAACCTGGCATATATCAATATTGATAGATAGATAGATAGATAGGATAGATAGATAGATAGATAGATAGATAGATAGATAGATAGATAGATAGATAGATAGATAGATAGATAGATAGATAGATAGATAGATAGATAGATAGATAGATAGATGGATAGATGGATAGATGGATAGATGGATAGATGGATAGATAGATAAGATAGATAGATAGATAAGATAGATAGATAGATAGATAGATCTAATGAACGAACGAATGAACGAACGAACGAACGAACGAGACAGACAGATCTAACCTTGCCCAGGAAGTGTTTCCTGTAGATCTTGGCTATGCTGTTGGTCTCGAGTTTAACCTGTGATGCTGGGCAAGGGGGCGGTTCCTCTGGTGAGGAGGAGGAGCCTAAATCATGATTGGTCCCTTCAATCCAGTAACCCCCAAACTGAGGCAGCAGAATCAGTGGTAAAGAACCAGTACGCCCCAATACCTGACAACCCACAAAAACGTATTTTACAACCAGTACAACAAGAAAACACATTCATATTTACATATAAAAAAACAAACAAGTTTGCAACCTCATGGACGCTGGGATATGGAATGTAGTCTTCCTCTGTCTGTGGAAGCAATCGAGAGAGATTAAATATTATGAGGCCTTCATTCGAGTCAATTTAAGGTGCAGATGAAAGAAATATAAAGGGACATAAAGAGTAAAAGCCCTTAAACGCAGAGCTCAAGTCTAGACCCTCGGAGGAGACTCACGATTCCAAAACAAACCCTGAACTATATACAACATTCACAAAGCCTGAGGTGAGAGCATCTGATCACATGTTCTGCTGTTTTATGCTGCCACACGTGGCCTTAAAAGCATGGAACAATAACAGTACATCTCTATATTTATGTAAAGACTTTCTGGGAATTTATATTTTGAGTTTAATATGTGATTCACCTTTATAAACTCATAAAAGTATAAAGCATTACATTGTAAGTAAGTTTGTGTACGAGTGCTCAAAATAAGCCAATGGTGCAAGAACAAACCTAATTTAAATGTAATTTAAAAAGAAAACTAATTTCAATGTCGCATTGTTTAAAACAGACATTGATCTTCTGCTTGTCAAAAGTTTAACTATTTTTAACCCATCAAAGGCAGCATCTTAAAAAGATGCAATGCTTATGGCACAAGATGCTGAAAAACATTGCATCGTAACAGTGCTTGTCTAGTACGTTGACTCATTTGGAACTCATTTTTTAATCAATACTTGTATTTTAATAGATTTCCATCATCTTGGATATTTTCATTGAGCTAGTTGCAAAGCATTTGGTCTTTTCTCTGCAGAGAATACATGCAGTCCTGCCTTACAATTTGGCCAAAAGGTATATTAATAGGCAGCATAATTATGATCCTATTCTTTTGGAACAGCCTTTATGTCAGACGTAGCCCTGGGATGCATTAAAATATCAACATTTTAAGGCAACAGAGAATTTCTGAACTTTAAAGCTATGAGACCGAGGGTTAATGCGAAAACATCTGTCTGGAATAAAAGCAACATTGTGTGTTTCTGTGTGCATGTGATAAACACAACGCTGATGGCAGGGATGGTCCGTGATGGCTATAACACTTGATGCGTGTTTATGTGGCTCTAAATATACACACTTACTTTGAGAGGAGGTGGAAGAGAGCACCTCTGCTCCTCCATTCTACTGCTCTGTGTTTAAAAAAAAGGAGAGGATATTTAGTGCATACAGTTAATTTAAAAACATGCATCAAAATTCACATACATTAATAGAATGGCAAATATCAGAAATTAGAATTCATCATTTGAAATTAATAACTTGAAATAATGTATATATTTGAGAATTCTCAGAAATGGAAAACATGGTCAATATACACAAAAAAATGTAATACAGATATTACACAGAGATAATTAGGCATGAAACATATTCTACGCAAGAAGCTATTCTAATCTATTCAAGCTATTAAGCCATAGTAGACACTGGCATTAAAGTTGTTCTTGTTATAAGTGTATAAATTACAGAGATATTTAAAAGAAGCTCTATCGCTTTCTTTATGGGCAGTACAGTTATCACAGTTTTGTGATAATGTACGCTAAGTACTTTGGGATTTTACACTGAAAATCTGGGATTGAAAATCAAATTTAAAGCTGAAAAAAAATCAGTTTTAGAAGTTTGGAAAATATAAACATTAAATGAGTTAAAAAAAATAGATATTTTTTAATAAGTAAGAATTTGTAATTACAGTTAAAGTTCAGAAGCGTTGGAACATCTAAAATTGCAATGCTTCAACAAACCTTAAAATACATTAAACAAGCATTTCCATACATGCGTAGAGTATATTTCTAGCCCAACACATCATCATTTCAACAGTTGAATGACAGAAGAGTGCAAGTTTAAATGATAAAGTGAATATGGATTGAGTGACGTATTGAAAGAGAACCTCAGAATGTAGACGACAGGTAGATTACAGTAATAATAAAGCAAAGACAGGGAAGGTGTCACAAAGTTAGAAGGTCGTAAAAAGCGAGAGATCGCAGGAAAAGCAATAAACACAGAACCGGATGAAAATGTGGACTTCTCACCTGCATTCGCTCTATCATTGCAAATATATCTGATGTCTGAGAATCAGGAGGAGAGAGAGAGGAGGATGAACACAATGATAAAGAGTGAGATCTGACAGTCTGCGAGTCCACTTGACATGAGAACTACTCTCGGCTCTCTAAGGGACAGTGGCTTCGCTGTAATGGACAGAGCTCCCTATACTTTGATCCAACGATCAACGGTGCATCAATCTAGCCTTCCTCCCTATCATACGTTTCAACTCAATGAGAGATGAAGACTGTGAAACAGCGGAATTTAACACGGGGACAGAGCAGCTGTGGGTTTGAAGGATATGACCTGTCTAGCTACAGCTACAGTCACATCATTGAGCACACAGCTCAGAATAAACCAGCATAAGAAGCCAACATAAATTAAGGGGAACGTTGTTCAGAATTCCCTGCCTGATTATTAGCATCACTATTACTAATGCTCATACTTAGGGTTAGAATTTGAACAAATTTCTAAATCTAAATATTAAACGCAACTCATCCTGCACTAAGTGATTGGATTTACAATTATTGTGATAGGTGAAAAAAAAGTAAGTAACCACCTAGCAACACTCAAAACACCCTGCAATCATCTAGTAATCATCTCACAGGCAAAAACTACTGAGAAGATTGTAAAAAATCTAGTTCGTCATTATGCAGTAGCATTTTTAATGTTAAATTCTGATAAGTCAGATAGGACTCTGCAAAATCCTTGCCAGTGATTGATTGATTTTTATCAACAAGAAAACGCATTGTTCAGAGAACCTTAAATGACTTCAATGTAACAACATGCTGTATTGAAACTGGAACTTCTATCTGTTTCTCTCTGACTTGCTGATTCATCAAAAACAACTGCACACACACACACACACTCACACAGGCGCACACATCTTTGTGGGGACTCTCCATAGGCGTAATGGTTTTTATACTGTACAAACTGTATATTCTGTCCCCTTACACTGCCCCTATCCCTAAACCTACCCATCACACACAACTTTCTGCATTTTTACATTTTCAAAAAACATTACTTAGTATGATTTATACGCTGTTTTCCTCATGGGGACCGCTGGCTGGTCTCCACAATGTAGGTGATTTCAAGTTTTACTATACTTGTGGGGTCATTTTGTCCCCACAATGTAATATAAACATGAACACACACACACACACACACACGTGGTGATTTACAATTTATATTGTTTTTATATTAAGCTATAACTGGTTTCTTCAACTATGGATGCTTATGCCACATTATGGCACAATTACGCCAAAATGTCTGGTTAGTCGAGTATCCTCATAAGAGCAGTCTTTAATGAACGTAAAGAGTCGTAAAAATAAATATGGCAAATATAGAGGCACGGGAAATTATGACATTTATTATGAGTTTATGTGAGGATTGTTATATTTTTTTGAAGCCTAATAAATGTTTTTAAAAAATGATAGCTTTCAATCACACTGTAATGTTGAATGGCTATAATTAATGTTTAAAATTGGGAGAAAAAAATCATGGAGACATCAGCTGTATTAGTATCAGTGATTATAAAATATATTAAAACTTTTAAATGTTTAATAAATGTTAATAAAAACACTTAAAGTTGTTATGTGTTTTAATCACGATTAATCAGAGAATTTTTTTTTAATCGATTGACAGCACTACATTATACATTTCTTTATTTAAAAAGAAAATCTGTTAGTTTTAATAAAAACCCCTGGGATTGGGACATAGGAGTGCCTGAAGTTGAACAAACACCCAGTTAAACTATCTTTACTTTTTATAACCCAACACTTTTTTAAGTTTGAATTAAGGCATTAATTAGTCCGCTTATTTAATAAACTGTTGGGTAATATAGCGGTTTTCTTTATCTCTGTGGGGACATTTACAGCTAATGCACACTTGACAAATTGAAATGCTACTTATTAAGATAATTTCACAAACGGTTAAGAATCAACGAATTGGACACAGCAGTGAATTTGACATTTCTCAACATAAGTGTGAGAACTCTTTCTCAACAAAGACATCCTATAACATTATTTCATCACGATCTCGCACAGAACACTCTGTACGGATCCTATGCAAGCATGAATGAATGAGAAACCCTTATCAGATGCAGAACAATATAACATTATGTAAAATCATAATACAAATCTACTATTATCTTTTCATTTTGTACTGGGTCACAATCAAGAGGACATCTAAATTGACCTTTTCATGACAATTTCTCCCCTTAATGGACAATTACCTTAATGGGGAAAAAAAATTGCTTGTGAATTCAACAATAATATATTATTTAAATTGAGAAGCATTTATACATAATGATAATATCTGTTAAATTAGGTCCAGACAGCATGATTCTCATTACTGAATTGCAGTATGAGAGAAAAAATAATGAGAATTAAAAACGAAATTAAAAGTAAAACATCAGCACACATTCCAGTAAACAGAAACACAATCACACATTACACTATTACATGTCTATACACTAACCCTTGGTCTTTTTATATAAGCACACACATTTATACAAACTCCCACATTTCACTATGATTGATTATTTTCTCACGCGTTTCTAAAGTCTACTTACATCACTGAACCGCCTGCGGTGGTGCATGGCAGCGAGTGCTGGACTGCGAAACCTGTACATACTCTTAGCCATGATGAAGTCAGTTAAATCAGCTGAACCCTTAGAGCCACACAACTGTGACCTGCAACGAAACACTCTTTCTCTCAATCTTCAGATGTTCTGCTCATGAGAAAAGCAGCGGGAAAGGCAAGAAAAAGCTTCCTCAATCTGCAGCAACTTCCCGTATTTCAGTCAAGCGTGCCATACGAAACTCGTATTGAAGGAAATCACTGGTAACTGACATGTGGATGTGTGTGTGTGTGAGGCTATGAGTACAGAAGCGTCATGCACATTCAAACCGCACATGCCCCCTCAGATTTACAAGCCAAAGAACATGAAAAAAAAAAGGTTTTGTTTTGGTATCTTTGATAATTCAATTGCAATTCAATTGTTTGTCCAAAATGCTGACAGAATTCACCATTAATCAAAATGCCAAACTGCTCTTTTGAAAACTTTGAAGGTTTGCATGATTTCTAAAGTGAGTCTGTGAAAACTTTTAACTTTTGGATGACCTCAAGAGGTTAGTGCAATAGCGGAAACAGGTGAGGTAATGTGTGTTTGACTGCAATGCATCTGCTGTAATACGCAAGCCTCTTATTCTTAATTCCCCAAATATCTAATATAATATATAAATGCAAATATGTCCCATTCCATTACAGTGTCTGTCAGAAATACTGATAAAATCAGACTAAAAATGTACAATGGTATATCATAATGATGACATAATATCAGAGTTCATGAGAGATAATATGATTTCCTGTTGCCACAGTTGCACAACTATAATGCATTTTCCCACACAGTATTATACAACAGCATGAAAGGCAGGCGGTTTAAAAACATAAATGTGAGAATGTAGTAAGGCAAGAATGACAAAAAAACAGCTTTGAAAATGTCTGTAAAAGTGAATAACGTGCAACCAAAGTGTTTTCTAACATGGTGTTGTTGTGGTAAAGCCATCCAGTCTGAATGCTAATATTGCTCTGGGATTTGGGAGAATCTAACATATCATCCAAAACCTCTGATTCCAGGATCATCCCTGCCAGGATGATTCCCAGGGTCCAGGTGTTTACAAATTCAGGAAGGAATCAGTCTGGGAAAGCCAGAATTTCATTCCTGTGAGATAGGTTTCTAAGCTATGTCTGATCCCAGAGGAGAAAAACATTATTTCTCAAAGACTTTTCAGATCTATTTTCACTTTAGTATCAACTTAGTCTCAGATGCTTCACCTAAAATTAAGTAGGACAAATAAAAATAGACAGGAACGAGACAATTGTTGGCAAACAGTAAGAGTACAGAGCTGTATAATTAATGTGGACGGCATAGCCGACGAGAAATATAACGAGTTCATTTTAAAATCTCAGAAATCTTGGCACAGTTTGCAACATTTTTGAGATCTCTTCTGAAACTCTATAGAGGTGTTTACTATAAATTACTAGCATATTTGTCTAAAGAGAAAAATCTGAGAAGCAGGACACTTAATAGTTCTGTAAATGATTACTGTCCTTTGGTTAACTTCAACCACATGACCTCTCTCCAATGACATGTCAGCAAACGTGACGTCATCAACCAAAAAGATCTATAATACCTGGATTTTGATGGCAGTTGCTCATCTGGCGGAAAAGATAATCAAACTATTTCAAATCTGCTATGCAAGTTCTGCATTCAGGCTCAGTGTTATTTTAGAATTATATACTACAATAGTTGCTATTAATATTTTAAAATAGGGCTGTGCGATATGTGAAATTTTTTTTTATCAATATTACGATTTTGATTTTAATCATGAAGTTGAATTAATGTTTCCTAACACACATACTTGACGGTATTTTTTTTTTTGGACGCCGGCTTTATTGACGATATTTGCAAGCACCATATCTTTGCATAAATGATCCGTGACGCCGTCGGTCATGTCTTTATGCCTTTATGCCTTTATGAACTCTTTTTTTTAATGTTGTGCAGTTTGCAAATGCCTGTATTATTCACCTGGTTCGGAATGTGCCATTGTTTCTTTATGTAAACATGCGCTAGACAGATGTTGATTTTTTTTCTTCCTTATCTTAGTCCTTATCTTGCCCTCAGTGCCCTTGATTTACCTTTCATGTTTCTGTGCTTTCTTCTACTACCATAGTATTGTCACAATGGAGGACAGACACAGATATATTTATCACTCTGAGTTTTACTAGAGTATCTACAGAAGGAATTCAAAACAGTAATGTAGGGTATAACACAACACAACTTCCAGGATACATATACATCAAACAAAGAAGAGGATGCAGATGAATACGGATCACCAGAGTCTGTAAAGTCCAGCAGAGCGAGTGAAATGGATGAGACAAAGACAAAGAAGTGTGTGAGAGAGCAGAATAAGTAGTGTCTTTGATTGCGTTGTTACAGATGATGGTAATCAGAACTCTGGTGATTGTGAACGGAGGGGAGGTGCAAAGGGATCTGGCGCGCTTGTGACAAGTACCATGCATCCGTGAAGAAATCAACTAGCTAGTCACGAGTGTTTCCCGAAAAACTCGTTTTGAGATATTTCTTTTCCAGGTTTTTTTTGCTATAAATTACGGACATGGCATCTGAGGATGAGTTCGAATTTTTCTCAGTTATTTTGCTTTATGTCCATATTTAATCATAGGCTCCTTCTTTCATACTAGAGCACGTTCGCTTTAAATCTCTAGACAAACTAAAAGACGTAAATGAAATGTGTATATATTCGATATTACAGATATAGATTGTACTGAATGTCAGCTTGCTTGTTTTGCTCAAGATAAGGATTTATTAAGTCCACATGTCATGCAAACAAGAAACTATGCTTCTAACCACAGGTCGAGAGCTTTCGTTCTAACCACACAACTTTTTGGGAAATGCACCCCTGTTCTGTTCTCTTGCTAGATTTAGGTGCACTTAGATTGCACTCAGTAATTTTAGCACTTCAACTTATTTCTAAAGTTTTTTTAAGTTTTTTTAATCAAATATTTAAATTTTATTATTTCAATTAATGAAAATGATTTCTAATAGTTTTAGTTAACAACAACACTGGTGAGGCAGGTGTTTTTTGAGACAATCACATGAGTCATGAATGCCATGTGATGAATTACACTGCAGGACAATGATGCACATATTTCCACTCCATTAATTGTGTCCATCTTGAACTGTGACATGAAAGGCAGTAGACAGGGAAAAAATGAGTCCATTTAATGCTTTTATGAGCACAAAAACAAATATAATGAAACATTTGCCATTTAAAAAGTCTCAATTTGTTCTAAAATGGAACAATTGAGATATTAAAAGAACCCATTTACAATATATTTTTTTATGTTGATACCTGTACCAAATCCGCAGACCTTGTGTACAACAAAATCTTACTTTTGCATTATACAATATTGCTTACTATTAATAGTCGGGGAATACAACAAAACCATAATGCAAAGTCCATAATCTACAGGCAATAAACACTGAATTACAAAAATGAATCGGTAACTTGGTTACAATCCAATTTCACTTGGATCATGCAGAAACTAAATTCCCAGCCTTTATAAGCCCGGTGTGGCTCTACAGAGATGCTGAGCTGATTGTACAGTATAAGCATCACGCATTATGAGACACTTGGTGAAATACATAAATGCTTAACTGCACAATCTAGATTGAGCTAATCTTATTCTACTGCTCAAAATACCACCGGGACGCTAATCATTCTAGGACATCCCTAAACACGGACACTTCAGTCCTCCTGGTTCCCAGAAGCCCTTGTGCTAATGGCTCTCAGAGCTGCTCAGAGACACAGATGGGTTCAATTAAAAAGCACTTGGGTGTTAAATGAGGGGAATAGGTGTCCCAGGAGAAGAGCAAGCATTGGAGAAACAATGGCTCATCTTCAACAAATAAAACTAGCTAAAGTCTTATTCAACAGCTGATATTAACAGCCAAAAGAGTGGCAGCTCAGAAGAGGCAAGAGAGGCTGAGCCCCCTAAAATTTTTATTTAAAGCCTCCCTGGAAAGTCCAGTAATGAACCACCACCGGTTCAGCTCACACTAAAAGGTGCCACTGCTATTGAAGTGCTTTAATTTGTGGTTCATCGGGAGATCTTGATGCCTGGAGGAGCTTGGATTTCTTTTCGGATCACATTAGCATTCTGTTCCTCAAAAAAGTATCATTTCTAAAGTTAAAATTGGATGTTGGTCCTTGAAGGGGAAATTGAGTGCTAGCGCAGAATTATCTGGTTACACACTTCACATGCTTAAGCATGAATTACTAAAGAGTCATTTCTATGGAGGATTAGGAGTGCTGCCTAAAAATACAATGAAGGAATCAATTATGAATTCATAAAATAATAAATTATTATAATAATATGTTTTTTTCCACACATGCTTGTCTCTATCTATTTGCCAATCAAGCTAAAAAAAACACCTGGAGGTACTGTATATAAACTTGTCAATTTGAAGAGATTTATTTATTTAAAAGTTTGGGCTCGGTAAGATATTTTAATGTTTTTGTAAGAAGTCTCTTCTTCTCACTAAGGCTGCATTTATTGGATCAAATATACAGTGAAAACAGCAATATTGTGAATAATTTTCTTCAGTGTCAGATGATCCTTCAGAAATCATACTAATTTAAATCTACAAGAAATATTTCTTATTATCAATGTTGAAAACAGTCGTGCTGCTTAATATTTTGTGGGAATCAAACACTTTTGTCAGCATTCTTTGATGAATAGAATGTTTTAAATAAAAATCTTTAGTAACAATATAAATGTCTTATCAGTAACTTTTTATCAGTTAAATGCATCCCTATGGAATAAAATAATTTATTTACTTAAAGTTACTGAATAACTTGACTGATTTCATCCTTTTATTTTTCGGTGGCACTCCAATAATCAAGTCTTCCATAGAAAACAGAACAATTAAAAAGACAGTTGGATATATGTAGTATGCACACACACAGCTTATCTATTTCCAATAGTTGGTTATCAAAGGAAAAAGGAAAAGACAGTTGAACAGCAGGAAGAAATAAATGAGAGAAGGCAGTTGTTTGATATTCCTACCACTTCTCCGACTGAACCTAAGGCCATGCTGGAATATAACTGGATTAGAGGAAAGAGGAGTGAAATGTTAAAATCTGCCAAACCTTTAGAAGAGTCGGAGCAGGTGATGGCGGAAAGGACTTGACCAAACCAGGACGTTCTAACGGGTCAGATATTTGTGGGATTCGGCCATCTTGTTTCCTGTGGACAAACAAAAATCCTTAGAACTAAACCATGTTCCATAACAACTCAAGGCAATCAGATCATTCACATTTTGTCACAAGTGTTCGTCTGAAGATCAAATAAAAAATGCTCGGTATAATCGACTGATCCAGCTGAGGAATTGATTTGTTAGTAATAGTATGCAATACAAGCTGCTGAAAGAGACACAGGTGGGTGTGTGTGTGTGAATGCAGACTGCAGTACGGTTCAATGACACACACCGCATGGAGTAGAATCAAGCCCTCGGTTTTTGTTCCCTCGCTCCGTTGGCCTGTAATGGGACTCAAGCCAGTGGCTCAAACACATTATTTCACATCACATCGAATATTCTCAGCTCACGTAGCTTTTAACTGCCGATCCTAAATCAATTAAAACTCCCCTGCCATTTGGCACACAATCTGTTCCTCCATGCCATTCTGGACAAATACAAATGTATTTCTGAAGGCACGTATCGGTTTTACTGCTCTGTTTTACGAGTTGATGATGATCCATCCATCTCGACTGAAGCCAGATGATTACTTTATTATTACATTGAATTTTGCTTGAGGTTGTCCTGCAGTTAATGAGAAAGCAGGACTGCCGAGTTTGAATGAATGTGATAGAGTTTTGGTCTAAAATACCTGGAATATACTATTGAAAGTATTGAAAAGCATTTAATGAGAGATGCCCTCTAGAGACCTCTGGAGGGCGACCTTCAGCAATATATTCACAGTTGGTGTTGAATAAACCTTTAGGTGGCAAGCCCACCCTGTCTGATGTATATTGAATGTAAAATTGGCAAGAGATTCTCAAAACGGCAAACTCCAATGTTATTGGCTGACTTTGCACAATTCCTAGGAGTCAGAGTAGGCAGGTTTCTTCAAAAACAGAGAGTTTCGTAGCATCTGCTTATGTTGCAGTGAACACTGAACAGTGACAATTTGCATATTGTTAAAAACCAAATTAAACTTAGGTCACCCTAGACAGCAGGACAAAAAGGCATTTGGGTTTGTAAGTGGCTGAGACGCATCTTGAAAGGGATGTCAGATGCCACCAACATCATGTCTAGTCACCAAAGGCGCAGCAGTGTTTTGTTAGATCTTTACCTCTTGAGGATCGCCAGGGCTGACACACTTCATTAGCCTGATGGCAGGTTATGCGCTGAAAAGCCCCTGAAGTCGTTGGGAAGTTTTGACAGCGGTACAAGCTGTTGATTTGTCAAAGCACATCAGCCGAGCATGACTGAGATGTGACACACAAGAGGCTGATACAACACATAATGCCAGTGACATTCCCATAGAGACAGTCAGTGTGGGTATTTGCATACAAGAAGAACATTACAGCAGAAGGCTCTAAAACAATTGAATCTGCATTTAATTAATCTTTCCTTTTCTGATCCATTTCACAAATGCTCACCTGAATTGAGCAGTTCCTATCTGTGTGTAGCACCTACTGCTCAGCATAACCTTTCAAAGCACATTATAAAGATGTATCTCCACCTGATAGTAAATCTGCAACCCATTTCACATTTGAAGAGGTTAGCAAATCATAACAGAGTCCAGTCAACCGAAGGATCATGCTGTGAAACTGCAGACTGGAGTAACGGCTGCAGAAAATTCAGCTGTGCCATAAGAATAAATTACACACACATCTTAAAATAGAAACAGCTATTTTAAATTATAATATTTCACAATATTACTGTGTTAATGTATTTTTGATAGAATAAATGGCGCATAGGTGAACATAAAACACTTCTATCAAAAACTTGACAAAAATCTTAACAGCCCCAAAACTTTGAATGGTAAATTAAGAGTTGTGTCTGTTTAAGGTGACAATTATGTATTTGGCAGACACCTTCACACACTTTAAAGAGCATTCAAGGAATACATTATTACATTGCGTGATCTTTAAAAATCAAACCTATGAACTTAGCACATTGACAGTGCTATGCTCTATATACTGAGCAACAAGAACAATGATATACAATTGTTTTAAAAAGTATAATATGACCCATTTAAGACCTACATTGGGCAAGGGTTAGGAAAGGCTCAGGAAAACCTGGAGGCAGAAAGAGTTACAGGATTTACACAGAAAATGCAAAGCAGAGCTGCTCACTGGGTCTGTCAGGTGCACCTGCTAATATAAATGAATTTGACTGCGTTTACATGAATTAGCAATAAGCTATCTGACACTAGCAAAGAACTACAGAACAGAGTGTACATTAAGAGAAAATCATGGCTAAACATAATAATTAGATGACCTGAAGAAACGCTGCACTTTCTTTTCTTTTCAATTCGCAAAAATGCACAATGCACAAAGAAAACACAATCCTAAAATCACTAAGAGTAAGTGTGATCTATGTAAAAACCACAGAAAATCAAGATGATTTACTAAAACTCTCGTATGCAAAAACTAAAGATGCCAATGATATTCCTAACAGAATGTATAAACTGTTCAGATATCATAAAGCAATAATGTTTTCATTTTTAATTCGGTCCTGTAATGTTATAATTAGAAGAGTTAACAGTTCAAAAACATTTTAAACACACTTAAATTAAAATTACTAAATTACAAGTATGTTCACTACACACCAAAAACTGCTATTGTGCATCGCTACCAAAAACAACAACATGCCCCCAAAACGAGCCCACACACGGCTCACTCGTCTTCATCTCAACCTGCTCCACTAACACAGTCTGACACCTCAGCTGACTCCCTCCCACTACGACCACCTGACCTACACACCAGCAGAAGACAGGCCAATGATGGAGTGAGAGAAAGAGAGTGGGAAACATTACTTACTTGTATGCATGTACAGACGACAAATCAGCACTGAGCAATCTGTTCTGCAGCTCCAAACTAAATGGGCAGGTGATGGACAGAGCTCTCGCTTTCCTATCGTTCCCTCCCTCCCTCTCTCTCTCTCTCTCTCTCATTCTCCCAAATCTTTCTGTTTCTTTCCCTCCCCCTGGCTTCTCTCGCCATTTCATGACTCACTCCTCTTCTCTCTTGCCTTTTTGGGTTATCATCAGCACAAAATCTATTGCTTTCAAACCAGTTTCTGCATCTCTTAATCTGACCTTTTTTTTTGACATTGTTCAATCTTTCTTTCTCATGGCAATATTTCTCTTTCCCCACCCCTCATTCATTCACTCCGATGATGAAAGTGCTCCTTTCGGCTGAAAAAATAGTTCTCTCAAAACTGACAATTGATTTACTCACCCTTCATGTCATTCCAAACCCATTAAACTGTCTTTAGGAACACAAAAGGACCCTGATTGGGGACTGAGGCTCACAATGATACTCAAGCATATACTTTGCTTTTCTATACTCTACAAGACGTCGGAGGGCACTTACAGGACATTCGCTCGGATAGAAGAAGAAAAGTAGCGGATCAGCCATTGCATGCAAAATTTAGAACAAGAACCACAACAAAAACGATGGTTTGTTTACTGTTCTTGGAAAAGCATGTTGTTTTGTATCTTTCTACACTCTTTTCGACAACTGCACAATACATCACCAGGGTTGCCAGATTCCAGCAAGGTTTTCCAGCCCAAAACCTTGTCAAAAACCACGAGAATGCACAAAAAAACGGCCAAATTTTTTTGGCTTGTTTCTCGTTTAAACACATTGAAATCATTAACAAGCTTTAAAATGACCCATTTTTCGACTATCCGATTTCAGAATCAATATTCAATCAAATGACTGTTCAGTCAGACTGTTCTACTATTAAACTATAAGCTTATGTTATGAAAATAATAGGCTATCAATGAGTCTGTTTATTGTCAATAAAAGTCGCTTGGAACAAAAGCATTCAGTAACATAAAAACATTGAGTGGATATATGGACATACAAAATAACCCGCTTTAACATTTCAATTATTTCAAATAGCAACATGAAACATGCATAACATGAAAATCGCGTTGATTATAGAAAAGGGGTGCCGACTCTTTGCAGAGGCGTTCATGACTGGCTGGCCAACTCTAAGCTACACAAAAAATATTTTCATAGGCCTATGCCAAATATAGGCTAAAGGCAAACTTGAGTTTGACACCTGTGATTTAGAACAATTAATACCTAGCTATTCTTTGAGACAGGCAGTTAATCCTAGAGTTTTGTCATGAAAATCGCGTTGTGTGTGGGTGTGTGTGTGTGAGTGAGACTGCTGCCTGCTGAACAGAGAGTCGCAGGAAGAAGGATCTGAAGTGTCAGTGTTTCGGCTACAAAAACCCGCCGAACTGATCCGAAACCAGACCAATTTTTATCCACCCGCCCAAACCCATTTTTGCCCGCAAAATAGATTGCAAAACGCCCAATTGGGCTGGCGTGTTGCAACCTACTGGTCTCTTCTGTCTCAACATTCACCTTGGGCAAGCGCTGTTGTACACACACAGTCAGCGCGGACACAAAAATTGAGCTGCATGGGGACGGGGGGCGCGCGAACGTCTGCGGACTCTACTGATGACGTATACGTCACAAGGATAGTGAGCGACTGTCGCAGAACACAGACGGCCAAGGTATATTTAGGGCTTGAGGCTTTCAAGTTTAGCAAAACATCACAAGTGTCATACAATTACATACAACTTGTGTGCTATAACTAAAAGAACCATGAACATACTTTATGAGAGAGTAAATTCATCCCCTTGAAAAGAAAAATAAATATTAGCAGCACGTTTGCTTTTAAAATGCCTTGTCCTATTGATTACCAATGTAAGCCCTGCACTACAGATACAACTTTTGACAAGTCAAATTATTTTCTGTGGTAACTGACCGCATGTCACAGATGCTGTCAATAATGCTTAGCTTGTTTTGAACTTAAAACATTCTGTGTGTGTGTGTGTGTGTGTGTGTAATTCAAGCCTCTTATGTAGTTTTAAAAGGATGTTACCTGTCAAGCCTACAATTAGCCTACCCAGTTCTCTAAAATACCTCAAACAGACTTGCTGCCATTCCCAAAATATTCCCACAGCTGCAGGCAAACTGAGCCGAAGGACCATCTC